TATAGACTTCCATGATGTGTCATTTTTCTGTTTTTCTAGATCCCATCATACATTAAAAAAAAGTTGTGCTCTGGTTTTTTTGGGGGTCTGCTGGTTCCCTCACACCTGGAGGATAAGGGGAGATTTTCCACTGTCTACAGCCTCAAACAGTGAGTTCTGACATCTGCTGCTTTTGCTTTGGGGGACATTGGGAGCACCCCCCCCCCCCCAAACACAGCGGGGTCCCTGTCCCCTTTCAGCAGTCTCAGCCCGCTTCAGTCAGGGGTCCAGCACCAGGAAATGTGCAACCCTGCAGGACGTCCTCTGGCTCTGAGCATCTCCTCAAAGATGGCTACACCTTCCAGGCTCTCGTCATCAGTCCCGGTCCCTAGTGTGGATGTCCCGGGTCCATTTGATCATAGTCTCTGGAGACCGATAGAGGAAGATCAGCTTGGAGTAAAGCTCCTCCTCCAGCTTCAGCTCCCCAGTCTCACGCACCTTAGGACACAAACACAGCCGTAAAAAAAGGAGTCCTCCTTAAATCCCCTGCGGATTTACTGTCAAGGCCATTTTCAAAACGGACTTTTCAAGAAAATTAAGTGAGTAAAATGTGGCCATTTCCTAAATAATATCGCGAGTTTATGAGGATATTATTGATGTTTTTTTGTTTTGTGTTTTGTCGGGGCTGCAGGAGTAGAAGAAGAAGACTTGTGTACTTCTGATCTTTAGACTATATTTTAGGCTTTTCCTGATCCGATATTTGGATCGTATCGGCCGGCATGAGAAAATGCCGATCCAGACTCCAGATCCATTTTTTTTTTTAAAGTCCGATCCCACATGAGTATTAGCATTAGCATTAGCATCTCCTAACCCACAGGCCTGTGTCCTAAACTTTAACTTGTTAAAGGAGTAAATCCCTGTTCAGCATGAGTCTGACAACTAAATAAGTAGATAAATAACTTTCAACTTTAATATAAAAAGCTGGATCAGGACATCCCTACTGCATTTCTACACAATAAGATGTTTTCTATAACCATAAAACAGTTATTGAGGGGTGAATTGATTCAGACGGAGCACTACTGAAGGCCTAGGGGTGAAATACCCGGTCGGCCACTGGGTAAAATGTATACAATATGACAACATGGATATCTGCCAGTCATCCAGTCATTCGTCTTAGCATCTGTTTCTGATTATGGAGAGACTCGTTTCCAGAAGGAAACAAATGCTAGTGATAAAACCAGGATGAGGTGGCCGTATCCAGCTTTAAGAACTAACTGGACAGAAACAGGAACTCTTTCCTTCCTTCTGTTTGGAAAGCTGTGAGACAACTGTTGTTGTGATGTGGCGCTATATAAATAAAATTGAATTTAATTGAATTAATTTTAATTTTGTAATGTCATTGTCTGAACGTGTGTTTGGACTGATTTTGTATTGTGTGATCTTGTGTTGTTTGGTCTTCCTGCCTCAGGACCACAGATGTAAACTAGCAACTATGCTAGAATCTGGCTCATTTACAATCTGTATGAGATTGTTCATTAATGTGCACTGTCCTGATTAAAGAAATAAATAAATAAAAGATGCTACGAAAAGAGTGTGAAAGGCTGCACTGACCAGGAAGATGTCGGTGCACAGCTTCAGGATGCGGTCCACACAGGGAAGCTCCTCGAACATGATGGAGTGGGAAATCTCACTGAAGAATCCACGCACAAACTTCCCGATGACCAACACCACCGACACGTACAGACCCATGATCCTGAAAGCACATTCAGTCAGAGACCCACACAGAACAGGCCATTACGGGAACCTCTCATTCCCTAATATGGTCAGGGGGGCGGAGCCTATCCCAGTAGCCAATGGGGAGAGCCAGGGTCCCCCTGGACGGTCCCCAGTCCATCACAGGGACACACAGAGACACACAAGGACCCACAACCACACACACTCACACTAAGGGCAGTTTGGAGTCCAACAACCTAACATGCAGGTTTTTGGAGGGTGGGAGGAAGCCGGAGAACCCGGAGAGAACCCACAGACACAGGAGAACATGCAGAACCACCCAGAAAGGTCCTGGTTCCCCCGGGACTCCAACCCAGAACCTTCTGGTCCTG